CGCTGATGCTTCAAAGAGTTGCAGCAAAACAAAAAAGGGGAAATGTGGAGAAGGACTTTCTTCAGTTACTATTTTGTGTATTGTCTGAGGCCTGACCAAGCCATGATTGTTGGGTTCTGGAGGAAGTCTAGCATAAGCATTGTAAGCCTCATGATCAATACTAGATGCTTTGCTGAGATATGGGCAAAGGAAGATAACATGATGGCTTACTGGTTAGGTGACATTCCTATGATAGAGTTGTACTGTCCTTGCTAAAACAGTTGATATCCTCCAATTCCTCTGCTGCCTCCTGGGTTGATTCTGAATAAAAGGTTACTGAAGATGGTAATCAGGAGTCAGTCAGTCCTAGAAGCTGCTAGCACCTGACCACAGAATTTTGGCTCTCTTGGTTTGATTTTTTTTTTTACTTTTCTTATACATGTGCGGGCACCTAGTTCAGGGGATCTGTTCACCCTGGACAGAGTTGGATGAGAAGTCCAACAAAGGTGCACATATTTCTTCTGGTCCGGGCAACCAGGAATGTTGGAAGGTAGGAAGCTGAGGGGCTGCTTATTCCCCCCATGCCCCACCTGGCTCCTAAACCCATGCTCTTTTCCAGCCTGATTCAACACTTTGGACCATTTAGAGCTGATGTGACCAAACTTTCGGTTTGCCTTTTGGTTCACAGTGAGTAAAAAGATTGATCAAAGACATTCTTACATCTGGTGGACTGACCAACTTCGTTGAATAACAGTATATAATGCAGCAGCCATTGTTAATTCCTATCATTTTGTGTTGAGGTTATGTATCATTTTTGTTGTGTTTGTGTTGTTTTGTTTTTGTCTTCATTGTTGCTGTTTTGCTAGTTTTTTTCTCTTAAAAATAAAAAATTTTAAAAAGTGAGTCAAGAGAGATGATCCTGGGTCTCATTAAAAATACATGCTATAGTTAATGTATATAAGTATCAAAACTTTTTCCTATTTCTGTTATAACTTTTTTAAAGGGGGCAACAAAAGCATACAGCTAGTAGGACTCTGGACTTTATTTTATGAAACTAAAGCATCCATATCTGGTTCAATGGAAATGCTTACGATTCTTAGTGAGTCCTCAAAATACTCATCAAACATTTTTGAGACAATTTTCCTCCCTGTGCTTCATCCTGGTAAACCACTGTTCACCAATGTTCTGTGTGTGGTGGACACAGGGGTAGAGCTCGCACTGCAATGTCCCCTCACCTTGAGTTCCACTGTGATTTACACAGTCTGTGCTGAGCACTGCACAATCAAGTCTGAAAGATATTGCTGAAAATCTCATCATAATGCTAAAGTGTGTGATCTTGTGGGGCAGCTGTCCACAGCTCTACACAGCTTGCAGGCCATGGGTTGCACACACCTGCTTTACAGAATCCCCCAACCTAGCTTTGCTCTTCAAAGTGACTTTGCCTGAGCCAGTGACTCCCATCTCTTCTTCACACAGCATTCCCTGAGCCCAAATTTGTTCTAGAGGGACTTTTCTGACAGACTAGCAGGGATTTTAATTCAAGTAGATCTCTCTGTCTCACACGTTGTCTGAGGGATTCTAAGAAGCCAGTAATTGCTGGCTCCAGAACAGAGTCTTAGATAATAAGCAGGCAGGACCTTTCCCAGAGCTCTCAGCTCCCCTCACAGCCGTGCATGTCAAGCCCTCACACACAAGCTCAGGGTTCACTGAACAGGCCACTCACTCAACAGCTTCAGGTGCTGGAAGCCCCAAAGCAAGGCTGTTGGCATCATCCACACCTTCACAAATTCACAGCCATGAGATTGATCCTGTGCCTTGTTTCTTCCCTCAGGCTAATCAGAATAATATGAGTCTGCTAGGAAACTCACATAAATGGAAAGTATTTAATAGCATTCATATTTCTTACACTTAAAATTTTCAAGAGTACTTCATGAGAATAATATAGCAAGTATGGAATTGGAAACAGTGTATAGACTTTCTTCAGGGAGAAAAAACACAACCAGGGCAGTCACATTTTATGCTTTACCTCACGGAGTAGAGGGGTTAATGCAAACTAGCAAGGAAAACATCCACACACTATTAGATGTTTTAAATACCACTGAAGTCAAAGAAGCTCACATAGTACCAGAAAAATGGAAAATATCTTCTAACACACAAAACATAATGGTTGATGTTAAATTTTTAGTTTCAGTATCACAGTGACCCTTCAAGTCAGATGGTTCCTATCCTACAGGCCACACTTGTGATATGAGGCTACTTGTCGACACAGAGTTCCTGTTTTGAAGCCAGTCTTGTCTGAGGCATAACCAGCAGCCATTTTCTGCCAGTCGTGATGTCAATCAGGAGTGTTGTGTTTGGTATCAAGTCTAGTAACAATTATGCAAACATACACCTCATCCAAAATGCTCACCAACCACCAATACAAAACTCATTTTCACAATGTGGAAACACCTTCTACTCTTCTAGGTTCCTGCCACCCTCATATCTTCTTGCAAATGAAGATCCCAGGAGCAGAATATCTTAATGATCCTGGCCATCTTCATAATGAGGGAAAAGTAGCTGACTTCAGAACTTCTACTTGCATGGAAAAATTGTTCCTGTGACAAAGATGTTCCAGATCATGTTGGGAAAGCCAAAAATGAAGACACACAAACAAAATTATAAAAACACTGCACATGAACACACACAAATATAAATATGTATGTGTGTCTTATGTATGCGATCATACACAAAAATACATACTGAAATGCATACGTGTGGGAATACATATGCCAAAGTATAGATATACAGCAAGCTATAGAGTGATATCGTACATGGAAATTTAGAGATAGATTTTCCAAAAAACTACCTTGACACACACATAATTCAAAAAGCTACCTTCACACACACAACCCCTTGTAAATGATACTATAGTTAAAAACATTTAAAAGTCTTTATGCTATTCTGTAGTGCTTCTGACAGATGAGATCATGATACCCAGAAATAGGCAACTGAGTCAAATAACTGAAGAGAACACCAAAATGCCCAATTCCCAGATCAGGTTGCTTCCAACTCAGAAAAAGACTCAGAGCTGCATGAGATCTTAAAAGTGATCTTTCCCCCACATTCATTGTAACCTGCCAGCACATAGATATTCTCTTACCTCTGTTGCAGGAACTCCCTCGAGAGAAAGTACATGGGCTTAACAGAGTGGCCATTCCCAAGACAGCTCTCATTATGAGATCACTTTCTCTTTGTTTTGTTTTGGTTTGGTTTGGTTTGGTTTTGGTTTTTTTCCGGTACCGGGGATCGAACTCACAACCTTGCACTTGGAGATCACTTTCTCTTGCTGAGCTGAAATTTGCCCTTTGTAGTTCCCACTTCTTCTAAGAGAGATAGAAAGGAAAGTTTTCAGTGTGGCAAGAATGTGGCTTGTGTGTATGTGTGTGTTTGTTAAGCCAAACTATAAGAAAGCATATGACTTTGGGATCATCTCCTAATATCTCTGAATGTTTCATTTTAGAATTTGTAAATATAACTGCTGTGCAGGATGTAGAAATTTCAATGAGCTCTATCATTCCCTTTTTACACCCTTAAAACTTGGCAAAGTGTGGATTAATACTGATGCCCCTTGCATTCTCTTTTATCACTGCATTTATGTGTAAGACATTCTGCCACTAAGTAATACTCTCAGATTAATCAGAATAACTACGATGTGCCTTTACCCCAGCTCTGCTTTTCCCTACATGAGTCAGCTAGCACTTAATTGCACTATAAAATCCTTCCTTCTGACACACTCAGCAGCACCCAGGCTGGGAATCCTCTCAGAACAAGGATATTCCTCAACATCTGAGCCATTATAACGTATGGAGACAGATAAATCCCTGATGTTGCCCATTCTGTGAAGACTGGGGCAGAGGTGAGATTTCTGAAGAGAAAAGACATAAGCCAAGTAACATAAGTTTATACTGTTCTGGACTCAGAACCAAACCAAGGTACCAACCGACAAACACCAAAACGCATGGATCACCAATTGAGATTTAAGAATGAACCTTTATTAGCGGGCCAACAACTGACTGAGAGCCTCCACATAGGGTAGGATCAGATCAACCACGAACCAAGGGTGAGAGCAGCTTTTAAGCCAAAAAACCACATAAACCACATCCTGCTTGGCAGGCAATGTCTTTGTGAAGCAGTCTTCCGAGAAACTATAGGAAACTTACAAGAAAGGAACGATACATTTCAGGGTGTTTCCGGGAGGGGCTAGAATGCGGAACGTCGCAGGTGGAAAGGAAAAGAGGGAGAGTAATCAGTAATTTTTCATGTTCTTTGTGAGGCCATGCAGGTCCCTTGTGAGGCTTTTACGTTCCTCACTGATTTTAGGAAGGAATCAAATCCTTGATTCCCTTGTGTCATGTGACCGGCTTAGGCTCCGGTCATGAGTCCAAGCATACTCTGTTTTATATGTCCCCCTTTAGATAATCATACATTTATTTATGGTTACAATGTTTGTCTAGGGCCAGGGAAGGGATGAAACAACCCAGGCAGGGTCACAGGTGGTTATCTGGGCCCTGGTGTTCCTTGTCTTTGGAGAAGCATTTAGGGCTAAGTCAGGACTGTAAAGTTAACTCTTTACAACCCTCCTGGATGTTTTTTAAGACACATTTTGAGGCTTGCATTAAGACTAGAATTATTTTATCTTAAAAAGACATGCTAAGCGTCATCATACCCTACATTCCCCCCTCTATGACTTTTTTTTTTTAAGAAATACAAAGTGTGTCATGCGATGGCAGCCTGGGCTCCAAAATGGGGGTTTGTCATCTTACATGTCGGAACAATGAACATCGCAGTTTGTTGGGCACAAAGAAGGTGTAGGGAAGCAAGTACAGCCTGGCTAGGTCCAATAAAGTCCATCCGAGGGCACTTGAGGGTGTAGTTGTAGAGATGTTCTCTTTGTTTTGTCGGGCCAGAGGTCTTTCCTACATAGCAGCTAAAGTATGACTAGCATTGTCAGGAAAGAAGTAGAAGACACAAGCATGTTCATAGAATCAGTCCATTGTAGAATCCATGACAGGTCTATTGGCAGCAGACTTTACCATGGGTTTGAAGATCTCTCTTTTTATGGCACCATGTTCCAGGATGGCATCTATGATGGTGGTTGATGACCTGTCAACATATAAACATACCCTTGTCCCATGTTATTAATTGAACTGGAACACCTTGTTGTTATTATTATTATTATTTATCATTTATCTAATAGGTTGTAGTTATATTTTTCTGTTGGTTGCTCAAGACCAAGTTAAAGTGAGACCTGTATTAATTAAAACGAATTTTTTTTATCAAGGTCTGTTAACTCTCTTCAGGAGTTACCTTGGAACCATGTGCAGTGTCTCTTAGTACTTCTGTCAGTGCCAGCCATCTGGATGAGTCACAGTCATTGCTTGACCAAGTTGCTTTCTTTGAAAGCTTGGAAGACTGTTTTCTCCTGATGACTCTCCTTAGGCACATTACACTGTATAATCATTTTTCTCTGTGGTCCCATAATCTCCTTGATCAGAAAATCAGGGACTCAACCAAATTGCATGATGTGGCAGCAGAAGTTTTCTTATGTCTTGAGTCCTATTTGACCTTGGAAGGCTTTGGCCATAATATTGGTGTCCTCTTAGCCCAATTTATCTCTCTAATTTTTCATCTCCAAACCTCAGTTGTTAAACATTCAGCAGAAAATGTTAATGACATTACATTGCAAGCACCTTGAAATATAAAGTATAACCAGAGAACTATTATTTTTTACCAATCATGGATGTTCTAGTAGTTGAATCTCTGTGGAATGTTAACAGACAACAATCACATAGTTTTACAAAAAAAAACTGGAAGTCAAAAATTATACATAGTATCGTTATATAATAAGTGTGATGACGTTTTTGTAGCACAATAGAATAGCCCTTTTAGTCATCATCCTTACCTAACACATATGGAGCTACTATCTAACTTGTCCTCAAACAGGATGTCATTTAAGAAATTTGTAACATTGTCTGGGCTGTTTAACATCTAAGCATCTCTAAATGTAGTGGCATATACATAATATATATACCACATAAGGTTTTGTTAAAAAAATTATTTGAATGATGACCCATGAACCTCTTATTATAAATATCTGGAGCACAAGAGAAAAGGCAGATGTCTAACATTATATAAACAGTTCCAGTTTTATATTTTAGAACCCTGTACATTTTGAAGGCACAAATACATTTAATATACCATGAAATTAGCAATAAGAAGTTGTCACTATTTTTTTTAACCTTCTGACAATGACCAATATAAACATATCACAATAATATATTTTGAACAATATATATCGCTGTGTCTCCCATAAGGCTATGGAGATTATCAGGGCTCCTTATTAATGAACAAAAACTGGTTAAGGTTATTCCAGGAAGCTGCTTTTTTATTTATCAATTGGAGTCCTATCCAACAATCTCTCTCTACCCAAGGGATTTTTATTTAATTATCTTAACCCATTTTTTTTATGTTCTATGAACATCCAATCAGAATTTGACATGTCAGTTTTTGTATAGTGAGAGACTTTCAAATCATAATATATAAAAAAATATTTAAACATTTATAAAACCAATTTTAACATAATTTTGACCAACCGGCAACGTGGTAGAAGCAAATCTTTAATTTAGATAATACTTACAAATAAACCAAATTAGATTACAGACAATTACCTCAAAAATCAAAAAAATACAAAAAGAGAAATTTATTGAGCTCAAGTAAAACAGCTGTTTACAAATCTGACAGAGAGACAAACAAAACACATATACAAGACAACTTACTTATGAACTTAGAGTGCACTCAAATATAGTTTTGGCCATACTGAATTATAAGTTTGTAATTATAAGTAGTCAGAAC